TTTGATCAGAAAAAAGATTCCTTGGGATGAACTTAACTCCCCCATGAAGACTTTGGTGCTTGAAGGCACTACTATTATTACCTTATTACCTAAAGGGTTTTGCCTTTATTATGGCAATATGTCACTATGCCTAGCTACTCAGCATTCCCACTTCCCTCCATCTTCCCCATGTCCACTGTCTTCTGTTCCTAAAGGATCCCTGAAAATATTCTTCACCAAGCACTTCCATGCTGAAGCTTTGGAAAATCTGATCTAAACTTCCTCCTAGGTAACAGTCAGCTCACAGCTCCATGAAACACGGACTTTTCCATATCACACAGTACAAACATAACACAAAACCACACCCTGCTCTTTCAGTCAAAAGCTAAGTGCTCAGCACTTTGTAGGTGCATGAATTATGAAGTACATGGGACAGAATGGGGCTTTTCTCTGTATGTAACTGTGGCGCTTAAAAGCACTTTCCAGGATACCATCTGATGGGAAGACTGAGGCTAGCACCTGGAGAGAATTAATGATCATCAATACTTTGAAATTAATCATGTGGTTTCCTTAACCTGGGGAATCTTATCAAGAAACCACTATTGCTAAAGAGAAATTCTACTATAAATGGTCCCATTTAGTGGACATGCATGTGTCGAAATTCAAAATGCTGCTAAAGGACACTTGCATATTGGCTCCTGTAATTGAAAGAGATGGTTTCTCCAGTTATCTCAGTATCATTGTCCTTCTTCGCTGCTGAACAGAGACTCCAATTCTGGGCAGCCAACCTCTGCCTAGGGTTGCTTTATTCATAAGCAGTCTCAGAGTGTTATGAGTCCCCCTGTTGGCAACTGGAGGTCACTTCAAATGTTAAGAGTTTATTTACTTGGTAAAAAATTGATTAGCCAAACTGTGAATTTCTTAAGGGGAAACAGGAGAGACAATGTAAGATTTTATGATAGGAAGTGCTACACTAACATCTTTTCAATTAAAATACTGAATCAATTGTGTTATTTGCTACTATTCCGAGGTACTAGAATGTTTGGTTTCTACCTCTTTTAACCACTCCTAGCCAGCACCTTAGTTCAGGCCTGAATCACCTCTTACCTGGACTCTAGCAATGGCCTTCTAATCCATCTCCTTGCTTTGTCTCTCACCACTACAATCCATCTTCCACACAACTGCCAAAGTCATTTTCCCAAAGGGAAGGTGTGACCATGTCACTCCCCTACTCAGTAAAATACAGTGGCCCTCTATTGCATGAAAACAGACAATTTCTGTTTAAGTCAAGACTTCATAGAGCTTCCTGGGATATTTCTTATTGGAAAAGAAACTCACATATAAGTAAGGTCTAGGAATTGTCCATTAAGTATCATATGCTCTTTACTTCTCATTGCAGCAAGATACAATCTTGAACCACAGATGCCCATGTAAGCATTGTAGACATGAATAATTCATGAATATCAGCAATAACTATGATTTTGCCTGTACTCAGATTCCAAATTCCATAGGGGTATTATCATGGAGTTGTAGGCTAGGTTGTGGGAAAGTGGGAAAAGACCCCAAGCAGCCAATTTTTGTCTTATATTAATGCTTTTGGCATATAGCAGGTTTCTGCTCAATGACCACACCTATTTTTTGGAACGTAGCAGTGGAAAAAAGTTATTATATGAAGAATAGACCAGCTCTATTGGGGAATACACTTTTTCGGATCCCACTGCTTTTTATGACTAATTTGGGTTTTATGTAAAGCCCTTATACGTCTCTACACATTCTTTCTGGAATGTTAGAAAAGCAAGCCTCATAGGATTCTTATATATGCTTCTCTTAGGAAAGAGCTACCCTTCACTCTACCTTAGCTCTACCCTTAGCTCTGCAGGAGTGTGTACCCTTAGGTATGAGTTCTCACATTTTTTGGTTAAAATAGTAAGGATATGCGCATGGAACTCTGCCTTGTTTTTGTCTAGTCAGGATAGACTATACCCTGCATTCACATTCAGGTAAATACCCTCAGGGGCACGCATATGAGAAGGGGCACCAGTGGCGAGAGAGACTTGCCTAAAAGTAAATGCTAGAGCGCATAAATCTGGAAAGTGTGGAAATCTTGGCTGCCCCTGCTAAAGCCACAACTATGTGAGAATCAGACCTTTCTTGAGGGTACCCTCAACCTTGAAGCAAGGGATTCCTGGTAATGAACATGTTATCACTGACATCCATATGGTCTCTGGACTATGATTTCTGGGACCCTGGATCTGACCAAGCATGGAACTTTGAAAGCTGACAGTGGCAAAGCCATCATGGAATGCTACATTCTTCATGCAACGAAAAAGAAAACGTACACCAATTTATGCTAGATAGCATGTATAAAACAGGCCAACCTGCCATTTGTGACCATGTCTGTCTGTCCTCTCATTACTGTACAGATGTGGGAGTGTAAGCTTCTGGCCCTTGTGCATTGGAAATGTACTCTGATATGATTTATCTTCTTTGGTTGATGGAATTCATACTGGTAATAAAAAGCTGACTTGGAACTCCCAATTTTTTTATTTCCAGTTGTACTACTAAAACATTTTCTAAGGATCTTAGCAAAATTGCTGATCTTTCTCTTAGGAAATGGACACATTTGTATTGATTTTCTCCACTCAAAGAACAGCTGACCTATGCTTTCATGTTCCCCACTTTATTTCCATACAGTTAAACAGATATCTTGGAACTCTATGGGGGTACCATTTCTATCATTGCTCATACAAACCCCCAAACCCTTCCTTATTACATGAGTCATAACTTTTCTCTAAGTGTCAAGATAGAAGGGTTAGGAATGGACTCAAATATGTTCATAGGAAAATTGAAAGCTAATAAAATTTTCAGAAGCCTTCATCACATCAGCCATCTTGCCTAGTCTGATTGTGTTGTTTTCAAACCCAAAATGGATCTTTTGGTATTTAGTTAACGATATATTTTCTAAACAACCCAGCATTAACTTCAAAAGTAGCTTGGAGAAAGGGAAGATATGTTTAATTACGTAGAGGTAGCATAGTATATGACATACACTTAGTTGAAAAGTCTTTCCCCCCCTTCCCCCCCCACCCTGTACCTGTGCGAAGTAGCATTACAATAGAGTGCCTCCTAAACTCTACAGTTATACACGAGGGGATAACTTAGATTAGGATAGAGTCTATAGACAACAAAAGCTTCCAGGTACTGGGAAAAATGAACAAATAAAGGGATCTCAGGCAGAAACCACTCAAGATAGACAAAAGGCTAATGTTTCCAGGTCCAATCTAATACAGGTAAAGGAATATGAAAAATAAACTAATTTGTCAGAACTCAATTGAGCAGGTGGTATATCTTACACAAATCATCAAGATTAAATATTTCCCATCCAGGAGATATTTTGGTATCCCTGGCACTAATCGACTTCTATTTATCAGTCCAAGAGAGCAGGCTTTTACTTGGGTAGGTCAAACTACTGGACCTCAGGAGGAATAGGCTGATGTCATGAGGCCTCTTGAAAGCAACTGTTCTCATTGCTTCAAGAGAGTCTCATATGTCAGGAATCTGTCTGTAATTTTCTGGGAGGCCTTTGTAGATATTGATTTAGTTGAAAGTGTTAGTTTGTGCACACCTCAGAACAGGTCCCTAATGACCTGCAAGTAAAACGTCTAAGTCAGTATGGGGAGTCCAGTAAAACTTAATTAACTGAGAATTCAGTAATTCCACATTTTGATCTTTTGGAAAAAGGCTCTTCTGAAATCTAATTTTGCTTAGCAAGCCCTTTCTTTTTAAATGAATCATATTACAGAAATGTTCTACAGGGAATACTTTAAAATACTTAAGAAGAGAAAGCCCCCTCACATACTTCAAGAGTATTCATCAAAATAATAATATTACCGACCCACCGTTCCTTAACAGTATTAATAATAACCAACATTGTGCCAGGCACTGCGCTAAGGGCCTTACAGTTATTATCTCATTTGATCCTCCCAACAACCCTGGGAGGTAGGCGCTATTATTTTCACCCCCATTTTACAGATGAGGAAACTGAGGCAAACAGAGGTTAAGTGACTTGCCCAGCGTCACGTGAAGCTAGATATGAATTCATATCTTCCCAACTGTGGCATGGCACTCTATTCAGTGTGCTACTGAGCTGCCCAGTAGCGGTAGTGATGTGAATTCATTCATTCACTCTTTCTTGACCCCTCCTGTAACTAATAACATACATCTCCAAGTAACTAGTTAGAGGTTTAAACACACCATCTGTCTATGAAAGAGTGAAACTGGCTAGACTAAATGGGAGTCAAAACTTTGCTTCATTAACCAGATAGTCTACCTCACTGAGCTAACTAGTTACAGAGAACAGAGACCTTTTAAAAGGCTCCCTGGGGCAGCTAGGTGGCACAATGGATAGAGCACCGGCCCTGGAGTCAGGAGGACCTGAGTTCAAATCCGGACTCGGACACTTGACACTTAACTAGCTGTGTGACTCTGGGCAAGTCACTCAACCCCAATTGCTGCACAGAAAAAAAAAGGCTCCCGAAGAGCTACTATGAAACTATAGGTTACATGAAGGAAAGAATATGAGTAGCCTAGTTTGAGTTGTGGTTTATACTTGAAAGTAATCAAACTGTCTTGCTTTACCAATCGTCATTTGAAATTGTTACCTATTTAAGATGGGTGCTCACCTTCATTAATCAACAGCAGCTCTACTCGGAGTGAGGTTCAAGCAATAAAGTTCAAAGTAATCTGGACTGAGATCAAAGCATCCCTTTGAAGAGTCGTTCTCGGGCTTTTTTAGTCCACTGACCTGGGCCCTGACTTCCATGTGGGTAAAGTAGGCAGGTATCTCTACTGCATAGGATGAGAGATGTTGGGAATCCCCCAAAGTATTGACCTAAATTCCATCATTAAAATATCTATTTCTTCCACTAATAAGCTATCCTTTTGAAATACAAGTAACTTTGGCAGGAAGTCATTATAGCAAATATAGTGAATATTTCTCATTTACTAATTCTTTCCCATACCTGAGCAGAAGTCCAGATATCCACAGCAGTCTCCTGAACAGCTGGCTCTCTCAGTGGAGTATGTGGTCTAGCAGATGGCATCAAATGCTTTTCAAGAAAAAAAAACACATGGGAAAGTATGTTTTGTTGTTAGTTAATAGAAAAGATTGCCAGCAATGGCTTAGAACAAATGTATCTCAATAAATGTGTATTTGCAATACACACAAACATTAGTAACACTTCCTAACGACTTTTATTACTTTGCATTGTGTCCAGGATAGCTATTTCATTGCTTTTATCTTTGACTGCTATCATGCTATGATGCCAATGGTCATTTTCAGGATCAGGCAAACTCAGTAGGGAAAGGAATTCTACGTGATATTTGGCTGTGGACATTCCCCTTCTAAAAGGAAGTCATGTGGCCTAAGGGATAAGGAGCTAGGCTTGAGGCCAAGAACACCTAGTTGTAAGGCCCACCTCAGTGTTCAATGCACTCATTAAGACAAGAAAGCGTTTGCATGGGTAGCGCGGGTGTCCCTCATGAGTTCCCTAAACCAGTGAAACCCCAGGTCTGATTCATATCTGGAGGCTGCCCTAATGGTGCAGATTTGATGGGGTTGGCATCATTTCTGAACACAAGAGCACTGCCCGGGGAAGGCAAGGTGTCAAACTGTAGAGCTCTTGTCAGAGAGCAATGTGAAAATACTGGCTCCTTATCAGATATGAGGATACCAAAAGCCAACTTTGTCTTCAATTTCTCCTTGACCTCGCCTTCCTCAGACCATTTCAGTGGGCCAAAGACCCAGCACATACTTCATCCTGTCCTGCCTTCTACTTTCAGCCAAAAGAACCATCTCTCTAGAATCAAGTGGACTAAGGGACTAATAGGATTGCTTCTTGTGAGATACTAATAAGTGCTAGCATAATCAAATTTCTTCATACCAAAGACAATTATACAAAGCACACCCTCACATAAAGTCATTAATTGATGCTACGATATCGTAAATGGGTTCTATGGATTGAATGATGTCACAATGGGGCTTCCAGACTTTACAATGAAGCTTGGTCATAATCTATTAATGATCGTATCATTTCTTGTGAAACGGCACCCAGTAGAGTCATATCACTCATTTAGTCTCTATCGGTATAGATGATGCCATACTCCAAGTAATGAAATGGTACAAAAGATGGGCCCATGTGAAATTTGAGGGCCTTTCCAAGTATATAATGAGAACTACGGCTTTATAATCTCACATGCAAATTCACCAAAGGTTTCTAGGAAGTAAAACAAACAAACAAACAAAAATTTTCAGAAGTTTTTGCTTTCTTACCAGAGGGTGAGTCCGGATAGCAATGACATTTGGATCCTTTAAAGCAGGGTCAGTTAGCCCGAGCTCGATTACAGCCTTTTGGAGGGGGAAAATGGGGAAAAAAAAACCATACTGTTTAGTTATATGCTAAAAACAGAACAGCAACAACAAACCATTTAACATACTAATAAAAGGAAAAAGCAGACTAATTGGTATAAAATTCGGTAAGGCTTGAGAACCCATAAGCAGATAATTACATGGTATCATTTATGCTTTTTTCAGTTACTTACACCTGAGTCTAATTTCAATTTTCTATTTCCCTCTTTTTTACTTCTGTGAAAATTTTTCTCTTATTAAACAAGAAAACAACATGTTTGAAACTTTGATAACAACACTTTGATACTGGTCTGTTCTCTTAAGACTTGCGTCCTTCTATTTCCTAATGGATGGGTATGTGTGAAAAAAATCTAACTGATCAAAAGCAGTTGCCACAAAGGGCTAAGAGAGACAAGAAAGCACATTAGCCAACAAATGGTTAATCTCTGTTAAACGACAGAGATGGCAGCCAAAGGTAACAACAGCTCAGAACACAAACAAATCTGTAGAACACTACAGAGAAGAACCCTGGAAGGGAAGGAGAAAAAACAACTGTACAAAACAGCAAGATACAATAAAAATGAAAGAGAAGCGTCTAAAGAAAGCTCAGCATGAGACTCAGTGAAACCATGTGATGCCAACTACATATGTAAATGAACCTTAAATGATAATGGATATTAAATGCAATGCATTTCTCAAAGCTTCTGTAACCATTTTCATCATCAATGACAGAAGAGCTCCCACATTTGGACTCTAATACCTCAGGCCCCAAAATGCCACCAGAAGAAGTAGAAATGGATACTAGTGAAGACAAGGTTAGAGATAGCAGCTAGATCTGACCAAGGACATGCCAAGGAAATGTGGGAACTACTTCTAAATAATAGAGCAATTGTTTTTCAAGATATCTCAGGGAGGAGGAGAAACAAATGAAATAGGGTCAGTGATGATATTACCACCCCCCCCCAAACAGTACATTGAGAGATCATTACCTAGTAATCCATGTGCCTACTTTTTCACCTTAAAAAATCTTTATGAGTCTGATTTATTTATACACCTAGTATAATAGAAAGCATATTGGTTCAGGTATCAGAGGACCTGTTTTCAAATCCCACTTCTGACCATTTACTTCCTGTCTAACTTTGGGTACATCATCTCACTCTAAGATTAATACTTGTCAGTATATGTTTACCAACACTGTTATGGCAGTTGTCTTCTGCAAGATTCTAATGGCAAAGGGGTTCTCCAAAAGATGGGGGGTCCTCAAGGTGCTTTTATTTGCAATTGATATTGAACTGATTACATCAAGCCCCAGAACGTGACAGCTCCTCCTCCACGAGATCCACGATCATTCAAAAATGAGATCAACCTAACAATTCACACAAGAAAAACTACAGGATGAAAAATGCCTATTGACCTGCTGATAATATGGTCAATTCACACATTTAAAGTTGAGACCTTACATTAGGGACAGGAACTGCAGATGGACAGTAATTTGGGCCTGGACCTGAACAGAAAGAAGAGCAGTGATTGTTGGGGAAGGAAGTAAACCATTAGCTTCATAGGAAAATGGAGCTTAGAGGAGGGGAGGGAGAATGCTGGTTTACCAAAAAGAAGATTGGGAAGTCTATTCTGATCAGTATTTATCACACAGCTAGAGACCACATTTTTAAAGGAAAAGCTAGACGTCACAATAGAACCTTCAAAAAGAACCACAGACAAAAGCAGATCTAAAAGCTGAATTATGCTTCTGTTACCTAGCTTTCAATTTCCAATGTGGCCTTCCCATTTGTGTCTGTGTCAAGTGAGAAGGAAAATAGCCAGAGAAAAAGAAAATGGGAATCCACTGGGTGTTTCCCCTATACTCCGCCTCCCACCAATCTCTCAATGTCTCAGCAAAACCGGATCTTCTCCCCTCTCCACAAAGGCCTTGAGCATTTGAGAGCTTCTTACACAAACCCAAACAACCACCATGAGCCTGTATAAAAATGCAGAGGCGATTTGTACTCAATTAAGTGGTTAGTAGACGTGTCAAACAAAGCTTCTAGAGGAATAATAAAGCAACCATATTTGCTTATTCCTATACACTGATATAAGGTGGTGCAGTAGATAGGGGACCACGCCTGGAGTCAGGAAGACACGAGTTCAAATCCAGCTTGAGACAATTCCTAGCTGTATGACCCTGGACAAATCACTTCACCCTGTTTGCCTCAGTTTCCTCATCTGTAAGATGAGCCGGAGAAGGAAATGGCAAACCATTCCAGTGTTTTGTTTTGTTTTGTTTTGTTTTGCCAAGAAAACCCCAAATGAGATCACGAAGAGTCCGACTTGACTGAAATGATTGAACAACAGCAAAACTGTTCACAAGTGTATGGAATTGTAACACAAAGAATAAAATACTTCAACTGCCCATGTGTCTGTCAAGACAGAGAAACAGGGAAGGCAACATGATGTGAAAGATAAGGACAGAAGGAAGCCCAGTTTTCATGCTAGCTCTGCCGCTAACTAGTACCTCATGTTATCTTAAAGCTTCAGCTTCCTCATGTAGGTAAACTGAGGACCCTGGACTATGTGAGCTCCAAGAATCACTTCAGCTCTAACATTCTATGCTAGGATTCTAAGGTGCTTTCTTTTTACTTCCTTTTTCAATGCCTAAGTTTCTGCAAATGCAATATTAAGTGAGTTTTTCTAAAGAACATTAAGCATAGTTTGACAGTGCTATTTAAGGTGACAAAGATCACATCCAGGGTTCTTAGCTAGAAGAGAAATAACTCATGAATTAGCTATGAAGGAGCTTTAAGAATAAAACATTATGTTTGTATAAAGCTTTAAAAAAAGACTGTGTTACAGAAGGAGATTCCCAATCAACTCCCAAGAGAGGGCCATGTGTGTACTCAGCTTTTACAAGTTTGTATTTTTCCCAAGTCTGCTAGAGTTACATTTCCCATGCATACTTTAAGCATCTGACTTAAACATACTCTGTCAACTGTGAACAGTTTGATGGCTGTCTGTGCTGTCTTCTACCACCTACATGAAACTGCATTCTAATGCCCATTGCATCAAGTAGAAATAACAGTCTGGGGGGGTAAAGGTTTAAAGTTATGGGAATGTGTCTTGTTTTGAGGTTGTCCAACTAAGACATCATTATAATTTGCCAAGGCTACTCAGTGATGCATTGGCTACTAAATGGGATTGATTAGTGAAATGGCAAGAAAATTGTTAATTTTCTATAAAAACATACCACTAAAATTTTTGTTTGTTGTTGTTAAGTCATTTTCAGTTGCGTCTGACTCTTTGTGACCCCATTTGGGGTTTTCTTGGCAAAAAATACTGCAATGGCTTGCCATTTCCTTCTCTGGCTCATTTTACAGATGAGGAAACTGAGGCAAATAGGGTTAAATGACTTGCCCAGGGTCACACAGCTAGGAAATGTCTGAGGGTGGATTTGAACTCAGGAAGATGAGTCTTCCTGATTCCAGGCTTGGCGCTCTACCAACTGTGTCACTTAGCTGCCCACCAAACATAGGGAAAAACAAATATGTTATGTCCTCACCCAATTCTCCTTACAACCCAACACCCAAAATAACAATTAGAATGTATATCAACCAAATAAGATCTTCTGAAATTGGGGAAAGGGAGAGAAATCTCCATTCCTTCCCCAGTTCAGGAAGCCGGAACACATCGATTATCTGGACTTGCCCACAGGCAATGGTTTTCTCATCTTTAGTTCTTCTTTCTGTTGGAGGAAGAAGCCAATCTAGATATTCTCCTTCCCCTTTCAAAATGAAACCAAGAACAAAATTCTGCTTCTATGTGAGGGGACTGCGAAGCTTTTCTACTTCATGAGGTCCCAGGTTCTGTTTCTTGCTGCTTAATACTGACAAACTGTGGGTACAGACTTGAAGCTTCCAGATTAGAACACCAATCCAAAGACTGCTCCTCAAAGATGTGAGAGATGAGGAGAGGAAAAATGTACAAGGGATAGTTAGAGCTGACCTTTGGGGCCAGAAAGGTCAAAAAATCCTTTCCAATTATGCTGTGACTTTTCCAATCTGTTCTGACGTGGTTACAGAGAAGAGGTATTCAGCCCAAGCCCACACCCCTCTCGTTGTCCTGTTCTCATCTTTCTCTTCTCGTAGGGTTCTGGGCCCCTATGAGAACACGGGGGGGGGATACTTCAGGATTCTAAAATCCTGGGGTGATTTCTTCTGGCCTTACTGGTTCAACTACCATCTCTATTTGCAGAGGACATGCAAGTGTGCTTCTTCCATTTCTCAGTCTGTCCTTGGAGACCAGTTTGGGTAATTTCCTTTGTAAAATGTTTCACATAGCTCAATGGTCAGATGGTTTAAATGGGAAAATAGCAAGCACATGTCACACTGGACATTCCACCAGAAAGTCAAAGTAACCACACATCATATTAGCTGTCCTGAAGAGGCATGTATATTGAGCTGAGCATAAGCTGGATTTAGATTTTGCTTTTTAATATTGCATACTTTGGCTCCACCATGGGAAAAAAAAATTGGGCACCAACCTCACTACAAAGGAGAAGGGGGCAACAGCAGGAAATATCGTTTTACCTTGTGTTTTTTTTTTTTAATTAAGAGGCTGAGGCTCCCTATCTCACTCAGTCTGGAAGTGCAATGAACACTTACAGGCATGATCCCAGGGCTGATCAGTGTGGAAGCTTTGACTGGCTCCATTTCTGATGTGGGCCTATCCATTCCTCCTTAGACAGCCTACTGGCCTTTTCCTCCTGGGTACTCACCATACTGGTGCTGAACTTCATGCATACACTTATTGGCTTTAGCCCCTCTACACAGCTCAGAATTCCTGAACTCAAGAGATCCACCAGCCTCAGTCTCCCCAATAACAAGGATTGCTGGCTTGAACCATTAGGCCTAACTAGCTTTTGCCAAGAAAATTAAGTATGTTCCTTAAAATTCTTGAGCAATGGAATATAGTTGTATGATTTTTGCTTCTTTATATGCATTCAATACTTA